TTTTAATATTTCACATTAATTTTGGAAAGATCCATATTAAGTAACACGGAACCTTAAAACATAAATGGGCGTGCTGAGGTAGTGAACGATTCATTGGTCGAACGCATATGTCACACCGATTATATGGTTTAATGTTTGTCGAATATCGAAAATCATTTCGGATTATCGAATTGATGGATTATCGAATGATTTCCGAATATCGAAAATCATTTCGGACTATCGAATGATTTCCGAATATCGAAAATCATTTCGGACTATCGAATGATTTCCGAATATCGAAAATCATTTCGGATATCGAATTGTAAAGACAAATAAATTTTCATAGGAAAATTGATATTTTTTTAAAGTGTCTTAAAAAAAAATTTGTTTTTGTTAAACAATTACTATTTATGAACAATTACGATAAAATATAATAAATATAATATTTCAATTATTAGGGTTGTACGAAAACATTTGCGAGCCTCTGTATAAGCCACAATTTCAGCATTTTTTTTTTCTGACCAAATACAAGGTCGCAGATCAGACTTTTTTGTGGTGAAGTCCAGGTTCTGCTTTCGCAGTTAAGATAAACTAGGAAACTTTCTCAGCCAAAGTTGCTAATTTTATATCAATTGGTATGCATTAATTTTTTCGTGCTTTTAATAAAATATTCGGTATATTGAATAATTCATTATAATGAAATGTCATCCAATCAGACTAATCAAATAGTTCAGATAATAACTTGTCAATAAATTTAATATTTTATCACTTCTTTTTTTTTTTTTAATTTTTTTGTTTTTTAAATTTTTAGTTTTTCTTTTCCTAAATAATCATTTGAAATTCGAGAGATTTTAAATATAAATTTACATTGCTTATTTAATTAAAGATGTCTTACTGATTCTAGAATTTCTAATAATGTGATAAGAAATAATTTGCTTTTCTTGTCCTTTATTTCCTTTTCAAGAGCAAGTTTTTCAGTACAATAGTTACCTAAAAGCAAGAGAAAATTAGACAATCTTTACTATCAATTTAAATTTTTATAGCAATCATATTAATTTATATTTTTATATTTATTTTAAAAGGCTGCTATTATTATTTAACTAGTATTGTATAATAATGTTTAAATATGATTAAATAATAATTATAATTAAAAATCTATTATAATATATATATTAATATTGATCTTGAAAATATTTGTATTATTTTATACAAAATGTACTTTTGGTTGATAATCAACAATTATTAAAGGTTAAAGATAAAACTATGTAGTACCATCATTTTTTTGTAAATTATAAATCAAAAATCCTATTATAGAATCAATATTGGCATTTTTATAAAATCAATTAATTAAAGAAAAGGATATTTCATCCTAAATCATCTTTATATATCATATCAATATATATGGTTATTCACTAAGGTTATCAGTATCTTCTATATCAATAGCTTCACTAACCTATAATATTATATTAAAATAATTATATTTATATAATACTATAAAATTAATAGAATTATAATAATCCACATAACATTAAATAATAGTACTATTAAATTAGTATATATTTCTATATATTTTTGTTAAATTAATTAATAAATTATTTATAAATAGAGTAAAAGATATTTATGCTTATAGATCTTAAATAAATATCATAATCTATAAATTTGAATATCTTTTAAGTCAAAATAAATGAAAAAATTCCTATATTATTTTCTTCATTATCAGTTTGTAGATAATGTTGTAATAGATTTTTAATATACTAACTATTTAGTCATTTACAAGTTTGAATTATATGATATTTCTTTAAATAAATAATCTATAATACTAATATATCTTTTATATTTTTCATTTAATTCCTTTATTAATACTAAAATTTGTATTTGCAAAGAGTTTACAAATTTGCAAAAAAGTTAATTTATATATAAGTAAACAGTCTATCTATTTATACAAAATTTTTTTATTATAATTAACTAATTATTATACTATAAACTAACTAATTTAATATATAAAATATAAGTAAACTAATTAAATATAATAAAAATAATAAAAATAATAAAAATATGTAATAAAATAAAAATAATAATAAGAAGTAAAATATTAAAAATAAATATTAAATTAAATATTCCTAAATTTTGTTTAATTTATAAATTAAAATTATCATTAGTATTTGAAAGACCAATAGAATTATATAGATTCTACGTATTTTAAAATTTATAGAATTTTTAGTATTTTCAGAATTTTGAATCAAAAGATCATTATATTATATTATACACGTAACTTCATTATTATTAGATAATTGCTTCACTGATAATATAAATACTTATTATTAAATTAAAAATGAGTATTACATACTTTTAATTTTAATAGAATGTCATTAACTTTTTTGATTATATCTCTATTAATCTACTATATGCTAAATAAATTTTATAATTATCTTAATTTTATTGATCTTTTATATTATTTTATTTTACTTTTAATAAAATTAATAATTATACATTATGTAAATTTAATATATTTTAAATTATCTAAAATTTTATTTTATTCAAATATTTTTTAATTTTCTTTAAAATTTTTAAATTATATATTATTAGTATTATTATTATTAAATATTTCATTAAATACTTTATATTTAAATACATTATTACTATACTATTTTATTACTATATTTCTCTAAAAATTATACAAAAAATAAAGAAGATAATAAAAAGAAATTTTATAATTTTATTTTAATATTACTAATTTGAATTTTTTAATAAAAAATATTTAAAAATAAAATGTAAAGATATAAGTTATTAATTTTTTTTTATCAAAAGAGAGATGAAAATATCTACTTTAAATCTTCATATCTTATATATTATAGTATTATAAAATATAATAAAATAATATTTATTACATTAAAATATAATTGAAATTTAGCTATTTTTCACTTTGTAAAAAATACTTCTAATAAAAGTTACTTAATATTTATCTAATAATGATAAAAATTAATATATTATAGCTTTAAAATAGTATTAAATCACATGTAAAATTTTAGTATATTTTATATATAAAATTTTTTTATTTAATTTAAAATGATTTTACAAAATATGTTTAAATATAAATATTGATTCTCTAATTAAATCAACTCCTTATACTAATCTTTAATAATTTTTAATATAATTATTAATTGATATAATATTTCTTTTTTTATTTAAAACTTAAAATTATTAAAAATCAGAGATTTTTGTAAAAAAAAAAAGCAAACTTATCTGTAAATATTATCAAATTTTTGATATTTAATTTTGAAATATTTTATATAAATATAAAAAATTTTATATTTATATTCAATATAATTTTAATATTTATATATATTTTTTCTTAGGAAATAATAAACTTTTTTTAAAAGTTTTAATTTTTTAATAATTTATATTTAGTAAGAAACGTGTCAAAAATCAGCTAATTCAAAAGGTAATAGAAAATTAGTTTTATAGATTAGCTGGTAATATTACGTGATATATTTAATGTAATATAATTAATCAGTTTTTAATTTTACTTATTATATTTTATTTGATTTATTATATGAGCATTTTGCAGTAAAAAGAGAAGAAACTACTAAAAAATTTTTTTTACTATATAAGCTAAATATTATTTTTTTAATAAATAAATCCAGATTTAATATTAACTAAAAATAATTTTTTGATAGTTTTCTCTCTTTATATTACAAAGTTTTATATTATTTAAGCTTAAAATTCTAATTATTATAATTATTATAAAATCTTATTATTAGTCTAATTTATTAGTAATATTATATTTAATTATGTATTATAATTAATAATATTATATAATTAACAATTATAATAACATCATCGTAATTATAATAAAATTAATTTAAAATACAATTTTTTAAGTAAAAATATCAATCTTCATTTGATTGAATTTTATATAAAATCTGTTTAACTGCTTGATATGAATTTCTTTTTGAAATTATATTTATTCTCAGTAATATTAATTTGAATTTAACAAAATAAGCATATAATCTATTTCTGTTTCATTAGCTTATTTTTGGATTCTCTTTTATTTATAATATAAGAATGCATTTTTTATTTATATTTTTTATGAACTTAAGAGTAGAAAAATATTTTCTGTATATGTTGCATTATAAATTCTAGTAAAATTTTTATGAAATTGAAAGGTAACAACTATTATACTTTAGAAATTTGTGTTTATTTTAATATTAAAAAGCATAAATTAGATTGATAAAATAACTATCTTTTTCTTTTATAATTAAAGAAAAAAATCTACATTCAAAAGATTAGTAATATTCAATATTTTTATATTTATTATAATATTCATGATTTTTACAATTTTTATATCTAATAAATAGCAATAACAAATTTTCATATAATTCTTAATTCATTTTTATGATATTAAAGATTTAGACTTATTGAACAGATATCTTTTTTAGTTGATATTACATACTTTTCATGTATGTTATTCTTTTTTTTTATAATTATATAATTTTTCCAAGTATTTGAAATTTTTTCTTTATTTATTATATTCTTTTAACTATCTAGATATAAACTGAACTTCTTATAGGTAAAGTAATACTAGCAAGCTTTGCAGATAAAATACTATATTATATTTTACCAGATTATATGCATTTTGATCTAAAGCATAAGTAGAGTTCCGAATGAGTCGAGTCGAGTCGAGTTTAAAGATCAACTCGACTCGACTCTCTTTTTTCGAGTCGAGT